CCTGAGTGCCGCAACCATTGCTCAGCTTGCAAGATGCCTCAAACCTCTAGGCTACCATCGGCTGGATCAGTGGGAAACAGGAGTAAAGTATCTATAAAGTATATGCAGGAAAGAAATGTTGTGTGTTCCTGTGCACGATGTCCAGAGACAGTAATCCGAGTACTCTTGATACAGGAATTTTGCCATTTATTTACTATATTGTATAAATTCACAACTACTTATTTTGTCTGGTAATATTTTATTTTACAGCAATTACAAATTTATTTTTAGCAACTCCTTTTATGTTCAAGTGCCCCAGTTTAGACAAAGAATATATGGTCATACTACTATAACCAAACATCTTACTCCCATCGCATTATGATGTACTGTATTAGGGAATGTACAGACATAATTATGTAAACCATCTCCTTGGTCCTCAAAACAATGAACCTGAAGCCATGGCAAGAGTCCACCAGTAGAAAACCAACTAATATCACATTATTACATAATAAAGCTATTTTTTTGAACCACTGTGATTTTTTTTTTTAAGATGTTAATTTATTTATTCATAAGAAACACAGAGAGAGAGAGGCAGAGACACAGGCAGAGGGAGAAGCGGGCTCCATGCAGGGAGCCTGATGCGGGACTTGATCCCAGGACCCCAGGGTCATGCCCTGGGCCCAAGGCAGACAGACGCTCAACCGCTGAGCCACCCAGGCGTCCCAAACCACTGTGATTCTTAAGCAAATATAGAAACAGCTCTACTTCACAATGAGCAGGAAAAAATATTCAGCACAACCCAGAATTACATATGCTATACAAAGATTCGAAATTCTAAGAATGGATTACTCTTCTGCTGATTCACAAAGTGCTTCAGAATTATGTTTTATCCCTAAGGACTTCATTCATTTTGAGCATCTAAACAGAGTTTAGGTTAGAAGGAAATGTGAAGACACTGTAAGCACCATAACAGAGGTAATTCTGGATAGCAAATAATTATTCATCACTTTAAACAGCATCATTTGGAATATGATTAGTCTTTTAAAAAGTATCAAATACATTTGAGGGCAGCCCAGGTGGCTCATTAGCGCCGCTTTCAGCCCAGGGCCTGATCCTGGAGACCTGGGATCGAGTCCCATGTCAGGCTCCCTGCATGGAGTCCTGCCTGAGTCTCTGCCTCTTTCTCTCTCTCTCTCTCTCTGTGTGTGTGTGTGTGTGCCTCTCATGAATAAATAAAATCTTAAAAAAAAAATACATTTGAATAGGCACAGAACAAGCCTACATTTAAAAAAAAATACTTAAAAAACAATTATCTTCCTTAAGTAACAAGTTGGCCCAGCTAAAGACAAGGCTATCTGAGGTTCCTGGAGGAATTTCAAAATCTTTTAAGAACAGGAAACCATAAAAACTATTCCTTTTGTCTGTAACAGCTTTTACATTCTAGATGAAGATTTTTTTTTTAAAGAGGGGAAGGGAAGAAGTAGAGATTTTTTTCTTGTATTCATGAATTCTGATTTATATTAAAATCACATCTTAAGGCACTATCTTTCTGAGATACCAGAGCCACTTAATCAGTAGCAATATGCAGAGAGAGAGAATCTGAAGGAGGTTCCAGGCCCAGGGTAGAACCTGATGCAGGGCTCACACCCCTGAAATTCTGAATGACTTGAGCAGAAATCAAGAGTCAGGTGCTTCACTGAGTGAACCCCTACATGAATATATTAATATTAATATGAAGCAAAAAAAATCATCTTTGATCTTTAAAAATATGTTCTATAGGGTTACCATAAAAGTACAGTTGTTTAATACTCTATGCATCCCAGGCTAAAAAAAAAAATCTCGTAATCTTTCAATTGGATTCAAAAACTTAAGTGTAAAAAACGCCAACTTTAAAAGTTTAACACAAGAAAAAAAAAAGTTTAACACAAGTCATTAAAGATTCTATATCACATGTAATCAACTTATAAAACATCTCTAATCCAAGTATGATTTACCCTAGTCAACATCTCAGTAAAGGTGATGGAGCAAGTCCTACTTCTCCAACCAGGAGTCTGAGGCTTGGATAAGGCCAAAAAGTGGGAGTTGACCAGTAGCCCAAAGAACACTATTCTGATAATCCTGCTCTAATAAAACAGAAAGTAGCTACTATGTCTAATATTTGACCTATATGGTATTTATAATAACATTGAGTAGCTGTAAAAAAGTTTTTAAATAAACCATTAAATAAGATCTTAACTGTGTTCGCTTCGGCAGCACATATACTAAAATTGGAACGATACAGAGAAGATTAGCATGGCCCCTGCGCAAGGATGACACGCAAATTCATGAAGCGTTCCATATTTTAAAAAAACAAAATAAATAAGATCTTAACTTCTTAAAAACATTATATCAACTTAACTTAGCAAACAATAACCTCTGCTTTGGATAGGTCATCAATTAGCCCAAATGCTTTTATAGATTAGGTCTCTTCCTAATTTCTATCATGCAGAAATGTCATTTTAGAAAATCCTGATACAAACTGAATGTACCAGAATAGGGATCAAAATCAGCTCTTTCCTTCCGCTTTAATTTATGAACCAGGATTTACACGCAAGTGTCAGAGCCACAACTGATGCACATAGTGAGCTTGGGGACAGTGCGTGTACTTCACTCCAGGGGGAAGGGTGGTTCGGTGGTAAACTATGGAAAAGAGATGCCTACTCAGATTTCCAGATGGACTTCTCAGAAGTATCTCATTTCACCTACTTTATTATGCACGTTATCCCATGTTTACCCATCTCTTTACCGGAAATGTTTCTTAGGATCAATGACATATCATGGTTTAATATTAAGGACATTAAATAATAATAGATTTGATGAAACAGGTTATTTCCCTGATGACTCCTCCTGACGATGCTTCCAATTCAGTTCACATCTAATAGTTATTCAAAAAAAAATAATAATAAAAATTAATTTATAAAAAAAAATACACATGCTTGAGTAGGCTATAAAACATCAAGGACCTTGAAATAAAATTAATCAGCGATTCTCTTGAGGCTCAAATATATCAAACTGATCAAGGCTCAACGCAGGTCAAACAAAACAGACAAAAATATCAACTAGGAAAAAAAAAACCTTATGCTCCATACTCCTGAGACAAATAAATTTGGAAACTGAGCCTTGAACTTTCTGCTGCCGGTTAATTCGGTGAAAATACCCTTTTTCTCGAATCACTCACTTCATATTTCTCAAAGCCTGTAAATTAGGTCTGAGACCTCCTAGGAGTACAGCCATTTCCTCTACCAGCACGGAGAGAAGTTTGTAGGTCCCAAAAGGGAGAAAAGTGCTTTTGCAAGCGAGCTCGGGAACAGGAAAGAGCTGCACAAGGAGGTGAGCACTGCTCCTGGGGTCAGAAGCTGCAAGCTCGGGGGTCCTCACCCCCCTTTACAGCCCTGAGCAGAGAGCTTCACGAAGCCCAAACTTTAGTTTTCTCGGTTCAAAAAGAGCCCGCTCGCTCCTACCGCCTCTTCTCCGTTGTCCAGCCGACGGCTTGGGAAGGTTTAGGGGGCACCCAGCGAGCGGGGGCAGGAGGGGCGCCCGCCGACGGCCCAGCTGGGAAAGGGCCGCGCCTCAACCCGGGCACCACGACCTCAGGGCGCCGGTTCCCACCTGCCTTTTCCAACTCCGCACACCTGGATGCGACTCAGGGCGGCCCCTCCTGAGTGAGACCGGGCCCGGGACAGCGCCCGGGAGGCCCGCCCCGCTCGTGGGTCCAGGCGACCCCGCGCACCTCCCCGCTGGGACGGCCTGGAAACTCGGAGCCAACGAAAATTCTAAAAACGGAAGTGAAAGCGAAGGTGCAGCATTCGGAGACGCAAGGAGAGGGTCGGGGGGCGGGGGGGGGCCGGGAGGGGACGCGGACGCGGGGCGCTCCGGCGACCCCACCGCGCTCCGGAGCGCCCGCGGCAATGAGCGACTTTCCCAGCAGCCCAGGGGCCCCCCACTTCCCCGGGCCTCGGCGGCGGCGCGGGGATACACGGGGGGAGGAGGATGCACGGGGGGGAGGGAGATGCACGGGGGCCCGGGGGGATGCACGGGGGGCAGGGGGATGCACGGGGGGGAGGGAGATGCACGGGGGCCAGGGGGGATGCACGGGGGGGAGGGAGATGCACGGGGGCCAGGGGGGGATGCACGGGGGGCAAGGGGGGATGCACGGGAGGGAGGGAGATGCGCGGGGGCCAGGGGGGATGCACGGGGGGGAGGGAGATGCACGGGGGCCAGGGGGGATGCACGGGGGGCAGGGGGGGATGCACGGGGGGCAGGGGGGGATGCACGTGGGGAGGAGGGGGATGCACGGGGGCCAAGGGGGATGCACGGGGGCTGGGGGGGGATCCACGAGAGCCGGGGAGAATGCACGGGGGGGATGCACCGGGTCCGGGAGGGGGATCCACGAGGGGATGCACGGGGCGAGGAGAGGAATGCACGGCGGCCGGGGGGGATGCACGGCCTGGGAGGCCGAGGGGGAGGGCGGCGGCGCGGGCGAGCCGGGCCCCCGGGAACTGACCCGCGCGGCCCGCGGGGCGGGGGGTGCAGTCACGCGGCCTCGCCGCCGAGCACCCCGAGCCCGGCGGCCGGGGACGCGGAGGGCCTCGCCGAGGGCCTCGCCGAGGGCAGGCGGGAAACCGGGAGGCGGGCGGACGGGAGGCGGGCGCTGCCCCGCGGGCGCGGGCGCGGGCCGTCCACAAAGGCCGCCCGCCTCCCGAGGGGGCCCAGGCGCACACGCCGCCCGCCGCCCTCCGGCCGCGCTCCCGGGCTCCGCGCCCGCCGCCCAGCGGGGGAGGCGCGGGCCGGCGAGGGCCGGCGAGGGCCGGCGAGGCGGCCGCGGGGAGCTGACGCGCTCCCGACGCCGGGGCCGGCGGCCGCAGCAGCCCCGAGCGGCCGGCGACAACCAACAAAGCACCTGCCCCAGGCCCCGGCCGGGGCTCGCGGGGCCGCGCGGACGGGCTGGGGGAGGGCGCGCGGCTTCGGCGCCAGACACTGACCTTGGAGTCTCCGTTGCACAGAGCCATCGGGGCCCGGGCGGGGGGGCCGGGGCGGGCGCCGCGGGCCGGGGCTCGGGGGCGAGGCCTGTGCGGGAGCGGCGGGCGCCGCGAGGAGCCGGATCCAGCAGCCGCCGCGGAGCGCGGGCCCCAGCGCCGCGGGAGAGGAGGCCAGCAGCGCGCACGCCGCCCCCGCCCCCGCCCCCGCCCCCGCCTCCCGCTTCCGCCCCGGCCGGCCACGGGGCGGAGCCACAGCGCGTCGGGCTCCGCAGCCAGACCGCGGACACCGCGGGGCCGCCGCCGCCAAGCGAGCCCGCCTCCGGGGAGGGGCCCTCCACGCCCGGCCCCGCCCCGGGTCCCTTCCCGCCGCCGAGTCCGCCTCCGGGAAGACGAGCCGCGGCCGCTCGGGCCTGCCCGCCCGCGGGAAGAAGGGCCTGCGGCGCCCGGCCCCGCCCCCCGCACAATAGGCCACGCCCCCGCACGGCGGGCCCCGCCCCCCGGGTCGCTTCCCGCCGCCGAGGTCCGCCTCCGGGAAGACAAGCTGCGGTCGCTCGGGCCTGCCCGCCCGCGGGAGGAAGGCCCTGCGGCGCCCGGCCCCGCCCCCCGCACAATAGGCCCCGCCCCCGCACGGCGGGCCCCGCCCCCCGGGTCGCTTCCCGCCGCCGAGGTCCGCCTCCGGGAAGAGAAGCCCAGGGCCGCTCCGGCGGGCAGGCCCCGCCCCCCGCACGGCAGGCCCCGCCCCCCGGGTCCCTTCCCGCCGCCGAGGTCCGCCTCCTGGAAGACAAGCTGCGGTCGCTCGGGCCTGCCCGCCCGCGGGAGGAAGGCCCTGCGGCGCCCGGCCCCGCCCCCCGCACGATAGGCCCCGCCCCTGCACGGCAGGCCCCGCCCCCGCAGGCCAGGCCCCGCCTCCACCGCCTCCGGCCCGCCCTCGGGGGGAGGAGCCCGCGACTGACCGCCCCGCTCCCGTCCCGCCCCCGCACCCGGCGGCCGGCCCCTCCTCCGCCGCGAGGGCTCCCCCTCTGAGAGCGACCCGAGCCTCGGGGCGCATGCGGGGGCGGGGCGGATCGCCGCCCTGGACCCCGGGGAGAGGCTGGGCGAGCGGAGAGGGGAGCCTCCGGGGAGCGGGGCCTCCTCCCAGGTGGTGGGGCGTGGGGTCGGCCAAGGCTGCTACCGAGAGTTTCATCATCGTGACACCTCGAGGGACGTCGAAGTGAGACGTGATCGCGACTCTCAGCAAAAGTTCTACGGCGGGGGCGGGATGTGCACGAGAAGGGGGTCTGGGCGCCGCAGTCCGGTGGGGCGCTGGGCCGGGGCACTGGCCCGAGGCACTGGCCCGAGGCTCTGCTTGCACAGCACCCAGCGTTTTTATTTAGATGGGCTGCAGTCCCCCCAGCTACTCTTTGGCGACCGCCAAGGTGAGAGATTAAATTTGGCCGCCTGGAAAAAAATTAATAATAAAAAATAAAATAAAATAAAATAAATGAAATTAAAAAATAAAATAAAATAAATCAATAAATAAATTTGGCCGCCTGGGCACCTAAGTGAGGGTTGGGGGAATGAATGACACTTGGCACGGCTTCCAGATTAAAGAAGCCTTTTAACAAATATTCAATTACTAGGATGCGGCCCCTTGCGGAGCCCACACTGTGCGTCAGGCCCCAGGTATCAAGGAGCCGGAGTAAGACGACTCGGACTTAAAAAAAAAAAAAAATTGGGGATCCCTGGGTGGCGCAGCGGTTTGGCGCCTGCCCTTGACCCAGGGCGCGATCCTGGAGACCCGGGATCGAATCCCACGTCGGGCTCCCGGTGCATGGAGCCTGCTTCTCCCTCTGCCTATGTCTCTGCCTCTCTCTCTTTCTCTCTGTGTGACTATCATAAATAAATAAAAATTTAAAAATAACTTTTTTTTTCATTTTATTCTAAGCTATTTTCGCGGAGGTAGTGAGGCAGGACTTGTGTTCTTATTCACCTTTTCGCTAATAAACTAATCGAGGCTCAGTCGGCCTCTCGGAATAGGAGGTGGCAGGTACCTGATGGGGGAAAGGATAGACAGTTCTTACTGTCAGGAACAAAGGCCCCGAATCCTAGCGGGCCTCCCGGTCAACGAAAGTATTTCACTTACCCTTTTTTGAGCTGAGAAATGGATACTTGAGGTTTCTAAGGCCATGGATACTGTGCTCTCTTGGTAGGTCTCTATGAGCAATCGGGAGAACATGCAGTAACCAATAGGAGAGCCTCAGCTTGCATCACTATCCATCCAGAGTGCAGTGGAATGGAAAGAGATGTGCCCGCGTTAAGGATTGGCCAAAGCCCATCTATACCAGATAATGCCTATTTTAAATATATTCTAGTGGTCACCTGTATTTATGGCTAAGCATATCCCCAAGAACCAGAACGTCCTTATATCTAAAGCCCTTCTGCAACTTTGGACTCTGTTGACCCTTCCCTCTTTCTTGAAACTGGATTTCTCTTACAGTATACCAAAGAGGTGTCCTTTCACTATAAGATTGTTCTTGGTCTTTTTTTTTTTTTTTTTTTTTTTTGATGATAGTTGACACTAAGTCACCTTTTCTTGTTCCTCTTTCTATATCCTCCAGGTGGAGGCTTAAGTATTGCTTTTCTTTAATACTTCCATTCCCTATCCTCTTCTCATCTTACTCTTCACCTATGTTTCCTTGCGGGACTTGCTTAAAAAATAAAAACTAGTTTTATTTTTTTTAAATAGTTTTAAAATATCCTTCAATAGACTCTATGACAGCTCTCTCTTTTGAGCTCCAGATCCATACTGCTCTGCAAATCCCCAGTTAGATGTTAGATGGCATGCTGGGTCCCTATCTCAAGAAGTCCAAAACAAAACTTCCCAAATTTCTGAGTCCAATATCACTAGAACCATGGTATTAGAGGGAAAACATAATACATACATACCGTGTGGGTTTTTCATAGATTCCCTTTATCAAGTTGAGACAGTTCCCCTCTATTCCTTCCTGTTTTGATGAGGAATGAATGTTGCCAAGTGCGTTTTCTGTCTTTTGATTATTATATGACTTTGCTTTTTCCAGTTTGTTAATGTTGCAAGTTACATTGATTGATTTTTATTTTTTTTAAGATTTTATTTATTTATTCATGAGAGACACAGAGAAAGGGAGAGAGAGGGGCAGAGGCACAGGCAGAGGGAGAAGCAGGCTCCATGCAGGGAGCCAGACACGGGGATTCAATCTAGGGACTCCAGGATCAGCCCTGGGCCTAAGGCAGGCACTAAACCGCTGAGCCAACTAGGGACCTCCCCTGAGTCACCAGGGACTCCCCGATTGGTTGATTTTTAAATGTCAAACCAGCCCTACATTCTCCGGATAAGCTTAAAGTAATCATGATATATTTTCCTTTTTTTTTTTTTTTTTAAGATGTATTTATTTGAAAGAGAGAGCATGCCTGTGCATGCAGGTTTGGAGAGAATACTCAAACCAACTCCCTGCTGAGTGTGTAGCCCAACATGGGGCTCCATCTCACAGCCCAGAGATCAAGACCTGAGCCAAAACCGAGAGTCAGATGCGCAACCAACTGAGCTACCCAGGCACCCCGATATATTTTCCTTTTTATGTATTGAATTCGATTTTCTAAATCTTGCCTTCAAATGTCTGCATCTACCTTAATGAGGAATATTCGCTTGCCATTTTCTTGTAGTGTCTTTAACTATATTTGGTATCAGGGTAATGCTGACCTCAGAGACAAATTTTGTGTAGAATTATTTCCAGAAGAGTTGGTATTATAGAATTGCTTTTATTCTTTTTTTTTTTTAAGACTTTACTTATTTATTTGACACAGATTGAGAGAGTACAAGCAGGAGGAGCAGCAGGCAGAGGCAGAGGGAGAAGCAGCCTCCCTGCCGCTCAGGGAGCCCAATATGGGGCTCTATCCCAGGACCCAGGAATCATGACCTGAGCTGAAAGCAGGTGCCAAACCGACTGAGCCACCCAGGTGCCTCAGTTTTATTTCTTTCTTAAATGTCTTGTAGAATTCACCAATGAGGCCATCTGAGCCTAAAGTTTTCTTTGTAGTAAGATTTTTAACTCCAAAATAAATTTTAAAAAAGATATAGGGCTCTTCAGGTTATCTATTTTTTCCTTGACTGAGCTTTGGCAATTTGTGTCTTTCAAAGAATTTGTCAGTTTTGTCTAAGTTGTCAAATTCATAGGCAAAGTGTTATTCATAATATTCTCTTTTTATTCTTTTAATGTCTAGACTCTATGATGATATCAAATTTCTCATTCCTGTTGGTGATTTTGTTTTCTGTTTTTCTTCAACAGTCTGGCTAGATAGAAGTTTACCAATTTTACTGACCCTCTGAAAGAACAGCTTTTAGTTTTATGTATTGTTTTTCTGCTTTCTACTTCATTGATTTTCACTTTAATCGTTATTATTTCCTTTCTTCTTCTTACTTTGTGTTTAGTTTGCTCTTTTTCAAGTTTTTTAAAACCGGAATCTGAGATCATCAGTTTGAGATCTTTCTTCTTTTTTAATATAGGTATTTAACTCTATAAATTTCCCCTTGAGAACTGCTTTACTGATATCCCACAAACTCAGATATATCAAATATTCATTTCCATTTGGTTCTAAACAGGGTTCAGTTTCTTTTTTTGATTTCTTCTTTGACCCATGGTTTTCTAAAAGCATGTTATTCCATTTCCAAATATTTGAGGATTTTTTGGAGCTCTTTCTGTTATTGGTTTCTAAGTTAATTCCATTGTGATCCGAGAATATATTTTGTATGATTTGAATCCTTTTAAATGTACTGGAGTCTGCTTTATGGATTAGAATATAGTCTCTATTGGTGAATGTTCTGTGTGTACTTGAAAAGGATATGTATTCTGCTGTTATGTGGAATGGTAAAAAGGTCCAGTTGGTTGATAATATTGATCAAGACACATATTTTTGAAGGTTTTCTGCTCATTTATTCTATCAGTTATTGAGAAAGGGGTTCTAAAATCTCTAACTAGAATTGTGAATTTATCAACTTCTTATAGTTCTTTCAGTTTTTGCTTCATGTATTTTGAAACTCTGTTACTAGGTCATTAATGTTTAGAATTGTTATTGATCTGGCAGCCCTGGTGGTACAGCGGTTTAGCACCGCCTGCAGCCCAGGGCGTGATCCTGGTGCCCCTGGATAGAGTCCCACATCGGGCTCCCTGCATG